TATAAATATTGTAAATTGGTTAGACATATTCTCAAATAATTAATATTGTTCAGTTAATGATACATTAGATTTAATTGAATCAGATAGTAACTTACATATGTGTGTGAGTGTGCGCGCCTGCGGTTGTGTGTGTGTGTGTGTGAGCGTATATATGTATGTATACATGGTATTTAGGTATCGGTTCAGTTGTTTTTTTTTTGTATGCACCTGTTTTGAATTTGCATTCCAGATTGTTATGTTAAACATTTAATAACTTATAATTTCTATGGTTGTAATTTGTTTTGTGCTTCAATAAAAAGAAAAAAAAAAAGAAGAAGAAGGTTAATTTATTGTGAATATTAAGCTAAATTTTATGAATCGTTTTGCAGTAATTCCATTTCTTTGTATAAAAGAAGTTGTAGTTGCTATAACCAACACAAAATGGCTAATTGTGTAAAAACAAAGACGTGGCTTTTCGTAATAAACAAAATTAAATAATGTTAGCGTTTTATACAATTATATTGTATTTTCTTGTATTTTCATTGTAATAGATCTTATGTGTGAAAACCCTGGCGTAACGCCGACATATACGAATTCAATTATTATAATCCATCTTATGTTACCTTTTTTTTACTGTCCGGGACCGAACCACTACGAGGTCCCCGCGCCTATAGGGGGTATGTAGGACTGGTCCGCGACAGCGAGACCTCTGACCCAAGGATGTTTTCAGGACTCTACTAACTTAACTACTCCCCTGCACTCTTCGCCGAAGCGTCCGATACTCTCCGAGGTCAGTTAGTCGATTTATGTGCTTCAACTGTTTGAAAGTGATAACATCCCAAAAGTAACAGTTAAGAGCAGGCTATTGATGTTGTTGCCACGTTGACCAAACCAAACTGGTGGTAGGACCTCTTTTGAGTCAGGGTGGGTACCACCACCATGCCTATTTCTGCCGTGAAGCAGTAATGCGTTTCGGTTTGAAGGGTGGGGCAGCCGTTGTAACTATACTTATGGTATTGCTGAAGTCCATGGGCGACGGTAACCACTCACCATCAGGTGGGCCGTATGCTCGTCTCCCTACAAGGGCATTAAAAAAAAACTTGAGACCTTAGAACTTATATCTCAAGATGGGTGACGCATTTACGTTGTGGATGTCTATTCGCTCCAGTAACCACTTAACACTAGGTGGGTTGTGAGCTCGCCCACCCATGTAAGCAATGAAAAAAAATCGTACTATTATGTATGAATTACGTGCCAGGTCTCAAGAGTAAACGAGCGACATCGCGCCTGTTTATTGCGTGTTTGATTGAGTATCAGAAAATGAGCACTGAGCAAACAACAAAAAACAGTTGATTGGTCGATTGAGTGATTCTGTAATACAATTCTCATTGCCCGTCTACCCACGTTTAACATTAATAATAAATTGTGAATGATGAAACCTATAGACGATGGCGTCTTCCTTCGGCCATCATATTTAAATACATATATGCTTTGGTACAGAAGGATTTCAAGCTAGGATATTCTCCTTGAACCAGGAAAATATATGAGACATGACAACGAACGGTAATTATCTTTCCGAAAAATATCGGCCATATACCAGTCAAAGCTCCTAACATTTAACCATCGACTTCGGTTTTAATAAAATGGACCCTTAAATAATTAGGTAAAAAACAATCAATGTATTTTCAACCAGTTTCCTGAAGCCCGTTTTTGATATTCCTCCTCAAGTCACATCCACATATCTGAAGGCCAAGACTACTATCATCCAGAATTCTCTCAAGCGGATGACTATATTATGCAACATATTCCATGATGATGTCTCCAGTGTGGTGCGAATTTGATCAGACCAATGAAATCTGTCTGTTCTCTCTCTCTTTCTCTCTCTCTCTCTCTCTTTCTCTCTCTCTCTCTCTCTTTCTCTCTCTCTCTTTCTCTTTCTCTCTGGTCTGCTATTTTTTGACCTCGTCTTACCGGTGACCATTGGCTGTTTTAGGGTCCTCATAATGTCTTCTGGTAAAGTGGTCAATATACTCAAGGCCATGAAGACTTGCCGGTAGACAATCTTGAAGTGACTGGGAATTGTTTTATTAAAGAACCATTTCAGATTCGTTTTAACTACAATGTCTATTATTTCATGGAAATTAATCGACCCTTTCTTCATTCTTATCTAAATAACGTACAATTTAAATTTCAACTCAAATACTTTAACTAAGAACCCCCTAAGATTTATTGATCTTATCATTCCAATTAATAACCGAAAGATGTACTTTTATTTAATGAATTTACTTAAATCCGAGTTCCCAATTAGAATACCTTCGGTTAAGTTAATAATTCAAACGAGTTATTTGAAAATTTGCTCCCGCAATTTATCTTCACCCACTATTATCTTCCCAGAGTTAATTAAATATCAACCTTAGTAAATCAGGGTGCCCGGGGAAAACAAATAAAGGAATCCTAACACCCAATAAATTTGAACCGGGATCAGTTTAGGTGCCGGGAATAATTTTGTATGTATCGGAGGAGGGGAGGACGCTTTTATCAAATCATTAAAATTTTCCGTTCGATTGGATCCATTTTAATGCCATCGTTCCGATATAGATTGAATCTCGGCGCTTTCAACTTTATTACCTTTCGAATTAACGTCATCNTCAACTCAAATACTTTAACTAAGAACCCCCTAAGATTTATTGATCTTATCATTCCAATTAATAACCGAAAGATGTACTTTTATTTAATGAATTTACTTAAATCCGAGTTCCCAATTAGAATACCTTCGGTTAAGTTAATAATTCAAACGAGTTATTTGAAAATTTGCTCCCGCAATTTATCTTCACCCACTATTATCTTCCCAGAGTTAATTAAATATCAACCTTAGTAAATCAGGGTGCCCGGGGAAAACAAATAAAGGAATCCTAACACCCAATAAATTTGAACCGGGATCAGTTTAGGTGCCGGGAATAATTTTGTATGTATCGGAGGAGGGGAGGACGCTTTTATCAAATCATTAAAATTTTCCGTTCGATTGGATCCATTTTAATGCCATCGTTCCGATATAGATTGAATCTCGGCGCTTTCAACTTTATTACCTTTCGAATTAACGTCATCGTGTAAGTGTACCGATGCTTTTTCGGAGAGCTTGAGGTTATATTCAACACCGTAATGTACTTAGCTTTTACGATCCAGAAAAATGGATAATTTGTAAGGCTGTTTTCTTTTTAGTAGTGTTACAGTGAGGTTTATGTGGATTAATTAGTATTGTCAATAGGTCGCAATGGTAAAAAGCAGTCTTCAAGCCTTTATGGCTTTATGATAAATGGCGACAAATGCATGTCGGCATTCTTATGAAATGAAAGGAATTATTTGGAGTAGAATTGCTAATTAGTAATAGCCACTTCGCAAGTTCTAGAGGTATTTTGGGGACTTGTACGATTTTATACGGACTAAAGAAAGTTCTATGCGGAGGAAGGTCTTAGACCCGGCATCTCTAAGATCCATTAACGTCTCTTTCCATTATAACTTAAAGAAGTTGGAATATACATGGTAAATCAACAAAGATCGGTCTAATGCGCCACACCAAAAGCTCATATTTGTTTACTTAACAGAGCAGGGAGGTAGCAGCTTAATAAAGCCATTGTGAACTTGAACTACACTATCGCCCGGCCGTACTTTTTCCGTAGTGAAACATTAGATAATCTTTAATCCAATGCAAATCAATTTCCAAAGAGAGATAAAGTCATAGAAATGGCTAGTCGCGAAACTGCAAGCCAAATCAGTTATATGGTAACGCAACAAGCACAGACACATAAATCTGGTCTCGTAAAACGAGGGATTCAAGGGTTAAATAGTAAACAGGCAGCATTTTTCTTCAAGAATTATTTTTTAAAATACAACGGGATACGATTCTTATTTTTACCGCGAAGGCATAATTAGGTCCAGTTTTAAATTAAGGGCCACCTGTGTACGCCTGCGTTATACAGCGCCATTAAGATTTTGACCTTGCGTATCTGGGTTGATGGCTGTATTTGCGTTGTGATATCTATGGGCTCCATTATTCACCAAACGGACCGTGATCTCACTGTAGAAACAAATACTCCACCATACACATTGTCTAAAACAGCCCATTGCCCAATACTGACGTTTTACTGTTGAAACTGAGACCTTGGAACTCTTTTCTTAAGAAGGGTGGCGGTATTTCCGTTGTAGATATCTATGGGCTCCGGTAACCACTTAACACCAAGTGTCTTCGTCAGGCTCGTCCAACCATCTAAGCAATAAAAAATACATATAGCGATGAAGATTAGATTACTTGTTCACAAAACATTCAAGATGTAATGATTTCAATCTCTCGCTATGGCCATCGGAAGTGTAGACATTTTAGGTAAACAATTGCTGTAGACAACAAAGCTCCAACCTAAACATTAGGCCGTCGAATTCTCGCGGGATCTTCTTAGCGGGTCGTGATTTTGATTCGATAGTAGATTCATACGCCAAGCAGCTACTTTTAAGTTGTTAGGTCTCCCTTGGAGGCGCTCGGGTAGCTGTTAGCAAATCTCAGCTCTCCTGGCTGAGCCCTTGCTCGCTCATATTTTTTTTTATTGCTTAGATGGGTGGACGAGCTCACAGCCCACCTGGTGTTAAGCGGTTACTGGAGCCCATAGACATCTACAATGTAAAACAACTGCCCCACCCTTCAAACCGAAACGCATTACTGCTTCACGGCAGAAATAGGCAGGATGGTGGTACCTATCCGCGCGGACTCTCAAGAGGTCCTACCACCAGTATAAACCTTTCACCGTTCACCGCATAAAATACAAAATACAATCTCAATACCCAAATTTATGCTCTTAAATAAAATCCTGAGACGATATTACCAAGCCTTGCGAGTGGCAAGGGCGGCTCAGAGCTTCCTCAAAACGAGTGAAATCAAAGCCTTCATAGTTTTGACAAAAAAACAAAGCTGATAACGTCCACCCGTTAAGAAAAAAACAAGAAAAAAACAGATTTGAAACTAGTGCCCTTACCTGACTCCGCCTCGCTTCGTGTCATAGTTGAGCATTCTGGATCCGTGTTTCCAATTAACTTGATTAGCCGGCTGCGGGACCTCGCTAACCACGCACCTCAGCTCAATAATTGAACCTTCTTTATAGAATTTGTCTTGTAATGGACGGCCGCGTTCATCGACGATCTCTACTTTCGGTACTGTTGACAAAAAAACAAAAATAAATTTACCAAAATAATATTTATTCATTGAGCGATTGGAAAACAATCACAAATTAACTAACAAATCGCCACATTATTATTTAGTCATATTGTAAAAGATACATAGACATGATTTTTTCGCGGCAAAAATAGGCACAACGATAGAAGCGAATTCAAAATACAGGACTTTTTTTCATCTATATATTGTGGAAATCCAATAACATAATACATTATCCATAATTATAATAAACTACAGAGAATCAGTTAAATAAAAATCCTCGCATGAACTTTTTAAACTAATTAAATTTAAATTTACAATGAGTACTTAATCACGCTAATTAATACGTTTGGTCATATGCCTTCGTAGGGTACAGGAGTTCTTTGGACACATTGCTGGAAAAGAGGGTCGTAACGTTGAACGGCTGATGGCGACAGGCAAGGTAGATGGCAAACGTCCCAGATGACGTAGTCCCATGTAGAAGTACAGCAAGCAAACACTGTAACTGGCCAATCCTTTATTTTAACACCACACAAGTACAAAAGTAAATGAATGCAATGGAACGTAACGTTAGAACATTTTTACGTGTTCCCGAAAACGCGGTACCAAAGAGAAGAAACTTATCCTGACCGGGTGATCGTTTTTTGACAGTTGACGTTAAGCTCCATTCGGGCGCGTTCATTATAAGATCCCATGAGATGGTCGCATCAAATTCGATCTTCCCTGAACCTCAAGTTTCACGATGCCTTTCGCGAAGCTAGGGCCGCAGCAGATGGAGGGAAATTGTACGTGAGGAAATGATGCAACAAGGGAGTCACGACCCTCAGTAATTAGAAACGCGACGCGAGGAAGACACGGTTGGCAGATTCGCTATTTATTACGTGATATTATTCCTTATCTTTGAAAGCTGTTCAAAATCAATATGCTAAATGCGTGCATATTAGAACAAAATATTGGCTCCAAAATAATCTGTGTCCTAGCGAGTAAATACGGTGTATTCGTATCGAATTACAACCATTACCACTATACACGTGTTCGGTAGTAGCATCACTGGCATGTGCCGAGACATCCTATCTCGAATAGATTCCCAGATAAACAGCAACGCGAAATAAAGAACAAACTGGCAGAACTTTTAAATTTTCGTAATTTTTTACTGGTAGGTACCACCGCCCCGCCTATTTCTGCCGTGAAGCAGTAATACGTTTCGGTTTGAAGGGTGGGGCAGCCTTTGTAACTGTACTGAGACCTCAGAACTTATATCTCAAGGTGAGTGGCGCATTTACGTTGTAGATGTCTATGGGCTCCAGTAACTACTTAACATCAGGTGGGCTGTGAGTTCATCCACCCAATTAAGCAATAAAAAAATCTGCTGGTACGGAAAGAGCCCAGACGAATAAACATCACCCTGTATATTTATAACGCGGAGCAAAGTTCCCGTTTGAGCATTTAAAAGTCAATACCCAGCACAATCGAAGCTTTGAAGTCATGTTGCAATAAGAATCGATCACACGTGTTAGTGTTAGAAAAACCCTAATTTTTAAGCTTATACTTATATACAAAAATCTCATCACCCATTCCTCTATGTCATATCGATTCAGAAATACGTAAAGCTACTGCATGATACGATTTCTTTTATGCAATCGGTACCCAGTATTTTTTTCAGTTAATATTACTCAACCGTTTCGCCTAGACGTAGACATGTAGACGTTCACAGCGATTTAGAAACATGATTACAAAAAGCTTGTTGCCTAAAAGAGAAAAACGCAAACAAAGGAACGACTTATAGGATTAACAAATAACATTTTATTATTATTTTCGGTATTTGTGAGTCCTACCTACGAGACCAAAGACATTATTTATGTCTAAATAATTTAAACAATTTTTACAATTGATGTGTATTGATTTTTTCTCCTACCAGGCCGAAAGTTCGTGGAAGTACCGAGCCGGGGGCCAGGGGCGAAACCCGGTGGGGTCCAGGGGCGAAGCCCTGGCGGGGGGTAGCCATACCCCTAAAAAAAACAATTTAACTGTTTTTTAATTTTTAAATAAACTACTACTAATTGAATAAGAACTGTCTGATGAACTTATTATATTTGTTTAATACTTCACTATTAAATTTTATTGCCTTTTGTTTATTTCACTTTTACACTAAACACAATATTGCAAATTACCCGAGCACAACAATGGCGGAGAATTTTAGGTGCGCGAGAGCAGACGTAGACACTGACGCGCATGCGCACTTGTCAGTACCCAGGGAGGAAAAGTTACACTTTCTTCCCTGTACAGCGGGACGAAAACCGAACTTCCGGCGTCGGTAGAAGAAAAATTGTATATGGTAGAGGAGTATGGAAGGAGAAAACGTGTTGCGCCGACCCCAGGTGACTGGGAGAAGGGCAGGAGAATGATAATGATGATGACCTGCTTCCGAACACGAAATTCATTAAGGCAAATACTTGAAGATCTATTTCTTTTTTTTCTAAACCTCTACGTTACTGGTGGTAGGACCTGAGTCCGCACGGGTAGGTACCACCACCACCCTGCCTATTTCTGCCGTAAAGCAGTAATGCGTTTCGGTTTGAAAGGCCGGGCAGCCGTTGTAACTATACTGAGACCTTAAAACTTATATCTCAAGGTGGAAGGCGCATTTACGTCGTAGATGTCTATGGGCTCCGGTAACCACTTAACATCAGTTGGGCTGTGAGCTCCTCCACCCATCTAAGCAATAAAAAAAAACTCTACTCTAAGTTTCATTACGCACGGCCGATATAGTACGGTTTTTTTTTATATATTGTACGAAAAAAATCCTCTAAATTCCTAAATTTCTTCCGTTCTTGCGTTCCTTCTAAATATTTGAAGAGTATCTGTTACATTATCTCCCGGCCTTCGGTCGTCTTTAGCAGTCGCTCGCTGAAATTAATATCTTGCTTAATAAACGTATTAAATTACAAGTTTATTTCTGTAATTATCAGGGATATTAACTAAGACAAAAGTACCCTCAGACGACGAATATTTTACGAGTTAATTAAATTTTAATGGTATTCAAGAGCAATGATTCATAATTTCGTAATTTTGCGTTAGATTTTCGTTTCGTTTGAATCCAAACAGGTTTCTCCTTAGACAAATACGACTTTTTAAATTAAATTAATTCGTTGTCAGACGATGCCTCCAATGAACACTACGCTAACTCCAAATTCGTAGATTTACAGGAGGAGTTTATTTAAACGAAAAAAGTTGATAAAATATTTATTATTGCAGATATATTTATGGTTTTTTTGTGTAGCTAGCCGATTTACTCTTGCTTCGAACCCCATTAATAATGATTAATTGTAATACTTTTAACATAGTGAAACGATTTGCGTGTAAAACAAAATTTTGAGTTAGAGTATTGTTCATTGGAGGCATCGCAGATGGAAATTGTTAAAAAACTAGTTAATCCACGTTGTACTAGAGTACTTTCAATAATTATATAGATAAAGAAAAAAAGTAAAACAAAACAATATAACAATTTTATTTTAAAGAATACGATTTATTAATAAAACTCCCATAACGATAAAACTCTAAAATTAATTATCAATTCACTATAAAAAAAAATTTAATTTGATTAATAATAATTTAAATTAATTCAAATTAAATTAACTAATTAACAACTGCTTAAAAATAAATAAAATGTTATCACTGCTTATATATTCTTCAATTATTTTGGTCATTTAAATGTACAAATCTTAGGGAGGACGTTGTTTCGCATAAGTGAATTTTGTTCTCTGCGCGTTTCCCAAATTTTTGTATATAAAATAAAAAAATAACCGGGAACAAGTCACGGACGGATATCCGGCTCTAAATTAGGTTTCCCTCTATTATGGGTACCAAAGGCTGACATACAAGTTTCTATATATACGAATATACTTACTGTACTGAGACCTTAGAACTCATATCTCAAGGTAGGTGGCGCCATTTACGTTGGACGTGTCTATGGGATCCAGTAACCACTTAACATCAGGTGGGCCGTGCGCTCATCCACTCATCTGGGCCACCAGTAATCCATCCTTCATAAAAATAATAATATTGCGTGAATAGGCAACGTTTAGGATTCAGAAGATCTTTGTATAGTGGTTACGTCCGCTGGGGCGCGAACTTGTATCCTGCGATAAACGACCGGACACACCATAATAAAACCTCAAATTCACTTTTTGATAACATCAATTGAACTACAAGCTTCGTCTCCACAATTTAACGGCCAGGCATTCCCAAACTTATTTTGTCTACTGTCCACTTTGCGAATAAACTATTTTTAGTGCCCCCATTTTCTCACCTACTTAAACACCACTATAGCGAGAGCTCAGTCGGTGTCTAAGACTTCTAGATTAAATTACAAATCGCCTCCCAACCCTCTACACAACGCCCCCATTTTTTTCTCGGTCTCTTACCGCCCACATTTAGGCTTGCAGCGACCACGAGGGGGCGTTATCGCCCATTTTGGGAAATGCTAATTTAACCGATAAGAAATCTAATTCGTTATGTGACTAATATAGATATGTTCACGAATGGTAAGAATTGACACCTCATCAACAATACGGTTACATTAGTAATATTAATGACAATGGTTACGTTATGGTAGGTCTGTAAATAGTTTACATCTAACTAGTTTAATGACATGGTCCATGACCAGTGTAACGGTAAAAGTGGATAATTGACCGTTACCCCAACCCCTTTCGCTGTATAAAAATTGTCAATTGCGACGCCGACAAAAATCTTTGGAATGCATCTAAAGGTCGTGCCCCACGTTGGGCGCCAATTTTGTAACGGTATAGGTGGATAATTGACCGTTACATCATTGAAAAACGGGATTAAATACTAAATACTAAGTCGTCGTGGCCTCAAGGATAAGACGTCCGGTGCATTCGTATGTAGCGATGCACCGGTGTTCGAATCCCGCAGGCGGGTACCAATTTTTCTAATGAAATACGTACTCAACAAATGTTCACGATTGACTTCCACGGTGAAG